CAAATACTCATGAAGTGAGAAGGAAAGCCAAGGTAAAGTCCCAGCCCAGTGCCCTGTACATAATGAGTTCTAAATTCCTGGGTTCAGTTACCCAAAAAGAGAGCAAATCAGCCCTCTAGCTGTGTACATCTTCCATTATAAATTAATGCATTGAATCACCAGCCCTTTTTTACCAGATAGGGGGGTCCCCCTGGGAATGCTGATAAAATCAGTTGAGCTTCTCAACAGGCAGAGCTAAAGCTCAAACCTAAACCACCGAGATAGAGTCCCGTGAGGTCTGGACCAAAACAGTCTGTTGGCTTCTCTGTTTTTAGAATCCTAACTTCAGCACAAAGGGTATCCTCTTTAAAATGGAGGCTAAGGAGGTGTTGATATAACCAGCTAGGTTGTAAATACAGGTAGCAGTTTACATGAGTTGGAATGGCAGTTGAAAAAAACATCAAATGAAACGCTATCATAAAACTTTGGTAAAGTTTTAAAATGAATCAGCATTGTTTGCACCCTCCCTATCCCCGCCCCCAAGCTAGCTGAAAGGCTTTATTTCTTCCATCAGGGGCTACAAGGCCTTCATGGACTGGGAGAAAGGGGAGGGTGACCCATTTCCATACTATGTCTATGGAGCAGCCTGCTCTGAGGTGGAAATTGACTGCCTGACAGGAGCTCACAAGGTAAGCCTAATATAACTTTCCTCTTGGCAAGTTAAAACAACAACAAAATTGCACTGTACATTAATAGCCCAAATATCACTATATAATACTTGTATAATAAGAACAAGCTTCTTTCAAACCCATGCGGATGTCTAGAGATCCAGCTTTATCCTTAATTTCCACTTATAGTCAAGAAGGAAATTGTTCATGACAGCCTAAAATGCATTGTTTCTTATTCCATTTCAGACTAAATCACTTTTCAAAGTTTTTGCAAAAAGAGAGTTCTGTTTCTAAAGGAAGATCAAATTATCTAATCTGAAGGAGTAGGTAATTTAACAAATATTCCTGAGTAAACATTTTAAAAGCACATAGCAATGTGATCCTGTTTCTCCAAAGTCAGTTATCCCAAGGGTACTACCAGCCTCTAAAGAAATAGATTGAAGAGGGTGGGAGGGAAGGGAGGAGAGAGAAAATAATTTTGAGTTTGCTATTTAATTGGGCATCCAAGAAGCCACCTATTGAAGATGCAGTCATATTTAAGCAAAAGTTAACACCTTCCATTATAAAGGATAAACCCATGAATATATCCCAAATATCATTCTGGGAACAGAGATTACAGAAACCTTAAATAGAATATAGTCTACTCCAAAGTATAGTACATTGTTAGGAAATTTACAGGATGAACTGATGACACATCTAAATTCCATACACAAATTATTCCAACATCATCTTGAAACATCTTGCCCTGAAATAGGTGTAAAAATGGTCAATTCATATAAAATAGAGAGGACTTTGCAAATACTGACTTGTAAATCTTATCAAAATGCCTTTTATTGCCCCATTGTTGGTTAACTTGTCTACCACTTAAGTATTATATGAATAAGATTTTTAAAAATACAGTAAGTGAAGGAGTTGCCCTCACATTTCTCTCAAGTTCATCTTTAAGACACATTACTATGATATCTCTATTTTCCTTCTAGAACATTGTTAAGAAGTAAACTCATGAAACTAAGATCACAGATTGCTCAAACTGTATTTCCTAATGCTTTTCACATCATGACACGTATAGATAATGATAATGTTTGCACAACACAGTGTGACAAACAAGGAAGCTATGGTTACAGGTGACCACCCTGAGGGCTCTGCCCCAGGCTCCCACAAAAGCCCAAGAGTCAGTGTCACTGTCCAATCTCAGTGTTGGCACACCTATAACCCATTCAAGACTCCAAACTAGGTGGGAAGCTTTTTTTAGAAATCAGCTAGTTTTCTGATCCTCTACCCTGAAGGTAGCGTTGCCAGATTTAGCAAAATAAAAATACAGGACACCCAACTAAATTTGAATTTCAGATAAACAACAAAATAATTTTCTGGTGTAAATATACTCAGTGCAATATTTGGGATGAACTAATTTTATCTGGCAAGTCCACCTGAGGGCCTAGGTATGAGTTCCTGAAGAAATGAACCTCATGGGGATCTACCATAATGTACAGTGCCAAAAAAGTTAACATTTGGTCTTACCTGGGCCTCCCTTATTACAGCTTAAGGTTCAGTCATTTCTGTATCACTTTGATCCCTTAAATACTTATTCTTTTAATTATAGAGAAACCAAAATAAAATGACAGGCCTTGTTGCTACTGGCTATTTGTGGTTGGTGAACTAAAATATCTGACAGTTCAGTTAGTGCATAGCCATTTCTGCCCATTGTTGAACACCCATAATGCAAAATAAACCAGGTTTTAAGATGGAAATAAATTGAAGGCTCACTCTGAGGTGTGTCCAATCTCCTGCCCTATCCAGGCTGAGAATGGATGAAGGCTCATCATAGTGCCCATGGTAGCTTTTCAGAGAGGCCAATGTTTAAGTCAAATGATAATTTCCTATCCAATGGGCTAAATAGAAAGTAGGATCCCAAGTATTGGGCCTAAGCAGAGAATGATGATGTTATCAGAACAAGCACAAGATATGGGTGAAAAGAAAGCCTACAGATACTCCTGAGATAGACCACAAGCCCTGAGAGGCTTTCTGTGCCTCCTTAACAACCTGCATGCACATGCCCAGTGCCAAAATAGAAGGGCCAGATTTGGTGTGACATTTCTCAGGGAAGGAAGTAGATTAGCAAAATCAAAAGTGGTATCAACACTTGCCCTTAATATGTTCTAAGATCTTGGAAATCCCTCAATTCATACATGCCACCATTGCTATATGAGTTCCTCAGCAAAATGCAATAATTTACCACCTACATCAAACCATGAGGACGAGATAAGCTCATGCAGTATATTAGAACAACAAATCCAGGCTGAGAATCAGATGAACAACCAGGCGTGGTTATTTACTAAGTGACACTCCAACATACCAACATGCCATGAACTTTGGAGTCACTTAACTCAGGAAGCAAAACCATGAATGCAAAAGACCATCTGGAGTCATCAATAGTCCTAACACTAAGCACATGTCTTACCACCTCTAATGTTGATGGAGTTCAATGTAGTGTTAACTAACCAGCGGGAGCTCTGCAATAATTTGGGACCATTTGAATAAACCTTAAAATAATATTTTTATTTGACGTTTTTATGCTGAGGTAATTTTAATTTTGGCAGAAAATCAGAACAGACATCGTCATGGATGCGTGTTGCAGCCTAAATCCAGCCATTGATATTGGGCAGGTAGGTGCCGGCCCACTGAGATGCATGCTGCATCCTGAGATCCACTGTGCTATAGGTAAAGGCCTTCTGAAAAGCATACAATATCACAGAGCTTGAAATTTTTCCCCTTCAGATTGAAGGTTCGTTTATTCAGGGGATGGGCCTTTATACCACCGAGGAGCTAAAATATTCCCCAGAAGGCGTCCTGTACTCTCGGGGCCCAGATGAGTACAAAATTCCAACCATCACTGATGTCCCAGTGGAGTTCAATGTCTCCTTGTTGTCATCATCACACACCCCACTAACCATCTATTCATCCAAGGTAAGCAACCAAATCTACTACTGTACAATGTAATGAATCAGGCAGCATAATAAATGGAAGCAGGTGGACAAAATAAAAAATAAACGTCAACCGTTATCAGGACCAAATCAAGAAAGACTAATAGAATTTGGAGATGATTCATGTAGAGAAATTCAGAGAATCAGAGAAGATAAATGATCCACCCAATAGCAATCCTGGGCCAAGGAGTTTATTTACTAAATCCTCTTTCACAGAGAACTCTAAAATTCAGCAAAAAGCTTTGATTTGCTAGAATAATATTGGATAATATTGTCACCTAAGACATTTTCACTTAAGAACCATGAGACTAAAATATTAAATGGGATTGAAGGCACGATGCTCCTGAAACCTTAGAAAGCAGTGGCAGCATGAACAGAATCCAGGACTAGGCCTTAGAAGACCTGGAATCCTACCCCAGCCCCACCAAAACCCTATGATGTTAGGCAAGTCACTCATCTCTGAGGGACTCAGGGTCCTCAGCCATACCCAGAAATGGTCTAAAGCAGTGTTGGGGGTGGGGGGGAGGCGGGCAGGGGGCGGGGAGGGCTATCACACACACACACACACACACACACACCTGGGAACATTTGGCAATGTCTACAGACATTTCTGTTTGTCACAGCTAGAAGGGAAGATATTACTTTTAGTGGGTAGAGGCCAGGGATGCTGCTAAATAGCCTTTAATGCACAAGACAGCCCCCTACAACAAAGAATTACCTGACTCAGATGTCAACAATGTCAGGAAGCAAAGACACCAACCCTTAGTAATTGCTAAAGCAATGAAACTGCCAATTAAAATAAAGGTCAGCATGCATTTGCATTGCTGTGTATAGATTATGTGAAAACCATCCTCAGAGTGGTTTGAGATGCACTGTTAAAATTTTCTTTAAAATCTTTTGGGAGACTTCTTATAGCGGTGGCAAATTAATACCAAAAATAATTAAATAGATAAATGAGTCCACATATATCTGCTGGAATTTTATCATTTTTAAACTGGATCCCACTTTCAGCCCAGGAACTTCCTCTGGGCATATGGTGATGAGGTGGGGCAAATGTGAAAAGGACAATCAAAAGGGCTGTTGGACTCACACTGGGCTGGAAATCACTCAAATGGGAAAAGGCAAAAGGAAGCTCACAGGCCACAGAGAGCAGCTCTCAGGCCACCAAGAATGACAGGGCAGGCAGGGCCCTTGGGTCCTTGTGGTTGTGGCCAGCCACTCATAGACAGACCCACAGGAAATTCATGAGTTTGCAGGAGTGCCATGGAGCGTAATAAGTAAAAACAAGAGGGACTTAACCAGGTACCAAAGGCTGTGCCAGGGCTTTTGTGCTTCCTGAACTTCACAACATCCTGTAAAGTAGGTGTCATTGCCTGCATCTTGCTGATGAAGGAACAGGGCCTCAGAGAGATACTCTCACCCAGAGAAACACACAGAGGACTCAGGTTCAGAGTGTCTAGCTCAGGAGCTGCAAACAGGCCCCACAGGCCAAATCTAGCCTGCAGATGTGTTTTCTTTGTTCTACACAGCGTGTTTTAAAGTCAAGGATTTTATGAAAATATGAATATCTAAATTCTCTTGAAAAAATGGATGATCTGATCATTTTGGCTGCATTTCTGGAAGGCAACGATTAGCTAGAACCGAAGAACAGCTGCCTCCTTCAGACAGGACATGGGGGTATCTCTACTTCATCCTAATCCACACTATCCCTGTTGGTCCTTCATCTGCTCACATCACTAATTTATATTACCTGACTATTCCTTGCACATGATGGGCTTGCAACCCATCATCTGGTACCAAAATCTGTACTCTTCCTTCTAACTCTGCTTCCTTAGCCCTGGAGTCATAATGAGGCATTTTTCTCTTTGCTCATGATGATGGCCAATTCAATCCATTGAATGTGTTTTTCTACGTAGGGTACCCTCCCGTCACACCACACACACACACACACACACACACACACACACACACACACACACACACACACACACATACCTCTCTCTCCTGTAGAACAAAGATTTAACTAAAACAGGACTAAAGATATGGGAAGTTCATGTGATACTGGGATTTTTCAGAGCACTCCAGCTTCATGCAGTCAGTAAGTCAGTCAGCAAACATTTATTGAGAACCTACTGTGTGCAAGACCCTGTGCTAGGGGGTGGGGCTACCATGGTGACCAAGGCCTGACTCCTGATTTTTAGCAGCTTGTAGTCTAGAGTAGAAGCTTCCAAAACAAATGTGCTTTCTTGCAGGGCCTGGGGGAGTCCGGGATGTTCCTGGGGTCATCTGTATTCTTTGCCATTGCTGATGCTGTGGCCACAGCACGCAGAGAGAGAGACATAGCCGAAGACTTCACAGTGCAGAGCCCGGCAACGCCAGAATGGGTTCGAATGGCCTGTGCAGATCGGTTCACAGAGATGGTATGGAATCATTGTTTATTTCCCTAATAGGTGACTTTTCTATTTCCTGCTTCTTAGACCCCTTAGGTGAATTTATAAACTAATCTGTGTCTAATCAAATTATAAAACGCAAGTTAAAATCAGCCGTAATCCCACTAACCAGAAACGACCATAACACACACATGTACTTTTAACCATCTTTTAATTCATATGTGTTTATATGTAAAATATACCTTATTTATGCACTCATTTTACAAAATTGTGATATCCCTGACATAAATGTTTGAGAAGATTTGAACAGTGTAATTGGGAGTGACTCTATTGAGCCTTCGTTCACAGGAAATCTGAATTGAAAAGATACTTGTTCATGCAAGATCACTCAAAAAGTAATAGCTTAAACCCCAAAAGAAAATAGTTAGCCAATGTCATGTATCCCACAAATTCATAATCTTTATTTACAGCCCCTAAAATAAGATTCGGAGGTGAGGGCAAGGCAGAATGTTTAACTTCTTAGTAATAAGCCCCTTGTTATTAAGGCCTCTTAGACCATGTTGAGAGTGACCACTGTCCTTCATACTTGTCCTGAACTGCAATATTCATAGCCATTCCACTGACCTCGTAGATATCTGAAACGATGAGAACATAGGCTCTTCAAATCCTTGAGGAGAGTTCAGAGATCCAACAGTTACTCTGTTCTGGCCTCCAGACCCCCTCTCCTCAGCTGGACACTAACAGAGAGGATAACCAGAAGCCAGCCTTGCATGGGGCCTTCCAAGGGAAGCAGAGAGGAGGAAGTCCTGCCTCTTGGCTTAACAAAGAGGACCAGAAACTCACAAAATGTAGATTCTTCTGCTGCTTCCTGTCACAGGAAATGGCAGTACTCCTCCATGCATGTAGTAATGCAAACTGGAAACCTGGGAGTTGGCCTGACATTTCTCTCTCTCATTCTCAGTAGCCAGTCCTTCACCATGTTCTGTTCATTTTTAACCCCTAACAATCTCTCGCACCAGTCTATTTCCTCCATTTCTAACCACTGTGTTATTCATTCACTAAACAAACATTTGTTGCATAACTAAACTATGCCAGGCACTGTTCTGGGTGCTGGGAATAGAACAGCAAACGAGTGATCTCAACTTACTCTCTAGAGACCCTCAGTCCAACAACCATCTCTCTAGCCTTGGTCAGAGCAACTTCTTAGTGGTCTCCCTATACCCACTGCAGCCAGAGATTTGTGGTGTGACAAACATGATCATGCCACTCTAGCACATACACAAGGCGAAAAGGTTCCCTTTATTCTTGGGTTAAAGATAAAACTTTTACTTTTGCCCTGCCAAGCCTATAACCTGCAAAGCCCAGCCTGGCAGGCCCCTACCTACCTCTCCAGCCACACACACACACACACACACCCCCACTGTCTCTCTCCAGCCACACTTGCTTCTTCTGTCTATTCCTTGTATCAAGGACAGAGGCCTCTGTCATGCTCCTCCCTCTGCTTGGAACCATCTTCTTTCTTTTCCTCACCTGGCTAACCCCTACTCACCTTTCATGTTTTAATCATATTCAAGAAATTCCTTTCATACTTTCCTTCTTGCATAGTTTGAGGTATACCAGAAGTACAGTAGTGAACCAGACAGAGGTCCCTGCTCTCAAGTTGTTTACAGTGTAGCAGAGGAGAAAGACAAATAATTACTGTAAATTGTAAGTGCTGAGCTGACTCTGGGTTTCCCTGTGTGTCAACAGAACAAAATATTTCTTAGCCTTAACCTTTTCTTAGCCTTAACCTTTTCTTAGTCTTAAACTTTTCTTAGTCTTAAACTTTTCTTAGAGTCAAAGGGGTAGTGGATGTGGCCCCAGCTTTGATCATTCATCATATAGTCATTCATTCATCTAACATTTATTCAGCCCCTTCCATGTGCCAAGTACCACCAGAGAAATAAAGAAATAGTGAGTCAGTCAATCTTTGTCCGCATGGAAGTTACGTTTTATTTGGGAAACCAAATGGTAAACAAATAAACAAACACAATATATAATTTCAGGTTGTCATAAATACTGTGAAGCAAAATAGAAGAGTAGGGGGCTATAATGTGATGGGAGAAATTTTAGATTATTTTAGATTGTTTATTAGAGAAGTTTTCTCTGGGTGTTTGCATTTCAGCTGAGGCCTGAATTAAGTGAAGTAGCAAACATAAAGTGAAGGAACAGGTATAAAGCTGGTAATGGTGTGTTCAAGGCAGAGAATAACTAGTGCAAAGGCCCTGAGGCAGTTTCAATGGATTCAAAGTAGCCTAAGACTAAGTAGCCCTGAAAAATAAATGGCCTTCTTCTTAAGTTTCCGATCTTGCCTCTCAGTTAGAAAAACTTGTAACTGAAAGGCTGCAATTGTTGTTCTCCCTGGCAGAGAGATAAAAGAAATAGAAATCTATGGCTGCACCACTTATCTTCACATCAGGAAAGTGAAACCTAGATAGTCCTTCAACTTTGCAGCTTTCCTGGCAACTAGCCTCTATCACAATCCAGGTCTACTTCTTCAGATCTTTAGAAATTACAGTTTATTCATACAACAGGCCTCCTGAAGTTCTTATAGCCTGACTCCCTATTCAGACCAGTCTCATTAAAGCACCTTGGAATAAATCTGAGCCTGTATGAGAATTTACATTTGATGGAACTACAGCATGGTTTTTTAACCGAAATATATAATTATTCACACTGGCATACAATAATGTATTATGCAAAAAAAAAATGTTTGAGAAACAAAGATCTTAACACTCTTTGTATTTGACCTTTGAATACTGTTGTCAAAACACTTTGTTCTGACACGCGAGACGTTGAGTTAGTATACTAGAATATGAGCATTAGAAAGTCCAAAACCTCCTCTTTTAATAACCTCCTTATAACCATAAGGTAAATAACAGCCTGCCTATATCTATTTCTTTAATATAAATAACAGTCAAACACTCAGTACTTTTCCTTTTGGAATTATATAAAATATACATTTAAATGCATATAACAATACTATGGAAAATACAAGTCACTCTGTAAATATTAGACTTAAGGTCTCCATCAAATGTCCATAACTATTAACGACCTTCTTCAAAATGTGTCCCTCCCAAAGGCTTCAAGCTGATTTGCTGAGGGCAGAAAAAACAACTCTTAATTAAAGCTGGCAGCCTCATTTTCACAAATAATTAACTTCAAGCTTCCACAAAGAGCAGGCATTGGTAAGAAGGCTAGAGCACGTTTGTTACTATTTGAGCAAGCATTTACTATATCAAAATTTTTTACCTGTGTGGCTTTGGTTACCATGCTCAGAGTTATTGATTGTTGCTTTCATCCATGGGCCCTTTCTCAGGTAGTTAACTCCTGTTCAGGGCAGTGGTGCTGGTGATAGTTTCTGCTCTGAGCCAAGCCACAAACATCATATCTATATATTATTTCCTTTTGGGGGATGGGAGAAGAAAGAAATATATATTTCTTGGGAAATGTGTTTTGTGTAGTCATTTAAATTCCACCCCCCAAAAAAGGAAATTTCCCTTAAAGATATATAGAAAATACATAATTAACACTTTCAAATTAGGGCTTTTTTTTAGAAAAAGGGATTTTGGGGGTTTTGTGGGTTTGTTTGTTTGTTTGTTTGTTTGTTTGTTTGTTTGTTTGTCTAATGTTTAGGATTCAGAGACATGAAGAGTTTCACAGCCTTAAACATTAGAAAAATACTGCCTTGGCAATATTGGCAGTAGGGCAAATACAAAAACCTTGTTACTTTGTTATCGCTAGCAGTAAAATGTATTTATTAAAGTAACTACAGAAACGGGTATGTGTGGGCTATGATAGTAAGAGGCCATGCAAGGCCAATTAACAGATTCGTTTTCCCTCTCCTAGGAGCTAAAATTGGACAACTCAGCTTAGAAACAAGTTTGTAAACACTCACCCAACATTTTGAAGAACCAGTTTCATAATGCTGACTCATAAGGAATCCTTGCAGCCACAATAAATGGTTATGTCATGTGTTAGCCTGAGCCCTGATTTTATAGTAACTTAATGGGAAAAAGTCCTTTCATTCTAGACCAGTACCCAATTCAAAATGGCTGTACCTGTCCTTCCCCTGTTATTCTATAAGGTTAGCAAGCGTCCAGTTTCAGAAGGCCTGTACCTTCCAGCTCTGCAAACCCTGCTCCAGCCTTCTCCCATCTACTCTTCCCTCTACATAACCACCACCTTCCCCACCCCCGTGTCTCATTTTCCCTCCCTGCTTCTTTTGCATTTCTAGATGCCCAAACTCATTGAGAGTTGGCAGCATGAAAAGTGCCACCTGTTTAGTTCAGTAAAGGAAGCCTTTCCTGCCAGATGTAGGAGAAGCATGTGAACATTTCCTGCACTGTAGGCAGCCTGGTTTACCTACACTACGCTCGCCTGGTTTCCCCCCAAATATTAGTCTTCAACCCCGTATCCTATGCACAGCCTAGCATTTCTCTGAGCTGAGAGACTGCATTCCATTTCCTATGGCTCTGGAACCTACCCCCACAACCCGTAAAAGCATGCTGTCAGTCTCCTATCTATTCCACTGAAAGCTACACCACAGACAACTGGCAGAGCCTTAAAGCTGCACAAACACACCCAGTCACAGGGCTTCTGTGAGATGGAACACAGAGCCAGGCTACATGACTCAGGAAGTAACTCAGAGTGGAGGCGCCCACGGTCCTTCCTTCCTCAGAATGCTGAGCCTGTCATCCTGTTCCCAGGAGATGCGCATGCACACACACAAATGCACAGTGCACGCACACTCAGACAGGTGTGTACTCACTCTTCACCACATTCTCCTCCTCCTTTCCTCTCACACTGTCTTGGAAGAGGTTCACTGGCACTCTAACAGGCTGTGAAACTGATTCCGAGCTGAACATGCTCGTCCCAGGATGCAGGGACTGAATGTGTTCTCTTCAACACTTGGGGACATGCCACACAGTGGCCTTTCTTACTACCAAATGGGGATTATCTGATACTGTTATTAAAATGTGTGTTTTGTATCTAAAAACTCCCCTACCTGGTCTCTGGAAGGCTGCTCCTTTAGGTGGGAGAATCAGGAGAAGGGAAGCACCTAAAAAGGAAGAGGGCATATTTGGAGGCATTCCTCAGGTAAAGAGGGGATGAGCAACGCAGAATATAAAACAGGAAAAAGGCAGCCATCTTACCTGGTCAGGGAAAGGAGTGACAGTGCACTGTTTTAACTTAGTTAAGTCATGGCCCTAGAGTCAGGAGGACCTGGGTAGGAATCCCAGCTCTACCTTTAATGATGTATTTAACGTCTCTGATCACTCAGTTTCTTTATCTTTAAAAGGAGGAGGAGAGGTCAGTATGTGGAGAGAATAATTCTAATTACTTTACAGGGTCGTTGTAAGGTTTGAATAAGATAACACATGAAAAGCATTTAGCACATAGGAAGTGGTCAATCAACATTGATGATGAGGAGGAGGAGGAGGAGGAAGAGTCAGAAGTCCCCAAGAGCACCTTCAAATTTCAGTGACTCACTAGGACTCACAGAAATTAGAAAGCTGTTACATTCATGGCTATGGCTTATTATACTGAAAGGATACAGATTGGCATCAACAAAAGAAAAAGGCACATAGGGCAGAGTCCTGGAGAGACCAGGTGTAAGCTTCCAGTTGTCTTCTCCCAGTGGAGTCACACAGAGGGCACTTAATTCTCCCAGTAACAACGTGTGAGAAAATGCACAAAGTGAAGCTCACCTGAGCCTTAGGAAACTCACCTGAGGCTCAGTGTATAGGGTTCTTATTAGGGCTCCGTCACACAGGCATTAAGGTCACCTGCATAGCTGAACTTAGTTACTCAGTGTCCAGCCCTTCCAGCGGTCAAATGAGACCATGTGACCCAAGGCCTCAGGTAAACAAAGACACTTATCAGGCAGGCTATTTCAAGGGCTTTGGTGTTATCTCTCAGGAGCTGGTCAAGGGCTAAACCTTTAGAATGTGCATTGTTTGGACACCCCAAGTCCTGCTGAGTTAATCCTTTACTGACAATAATGATGATGAAGAATCCTGGATTGATGGCAACTACCCCTGACACTAGGCCTCCACACCAATGAGACTGGGCACAGACCTATCTCAGAAGCTGAGACTTCACTAAAAGAGGACTCAGTCTTGATGGCCATTGTGAATATATTGCTTTCATTATAGCTATCAAGAACCAACGAGGGAGAAAGAGGATGAGGGAGTAAGGGGTTAATGGCACGAAGCAAGTAGAAGATAAAGGGAAGATCACCAAAGACCAACAAAGAGCAGCTTAAGTCCCAGTTCTGGATCTTTGAGACCACAAAAGAAATTTATGTCCTCACTCAAGGATCTGGGGAGTAGGTGATACCCCAAGAAAGCTGAGGTAGCCAAGCGAATGAGTACTATTGATCTGAGTCCCAAAGCAGAGGGTGTTCCAGGACCCCAAGTCTGGTGAAAAGAATAGGAAGAAGGTTTTGGAAGAGACTAAAAATTCCCATCACCTTTAGCAGAAGAGTTGACCTGAATTTACCTCAGACTAAACTGAGGCGCTTTGTCCAATGTGCAGCTCAGCCCAAGTGAAACAAGCTGATTCTAAATAAGATAGCCAAGCAACTCCCATAGCAGCAGCTAAGCAGAGAATCAGGGAAGTCTCTTTGAAAAGGCAAACCTAGCCCTCATTCATATTACAATACAGGTTAAGAGCAAACAATAAGAATAGAAGATATCCTGATAGGAGTTGGGTTGTTGCTTTTGTTTATTTTGGGTTTTGGTCTTTTTGTATTTTTGTGAAATAAATATTAGGAGAAAATTTGGAGCTATTCAGAATCTTCATAATGTTCCATTACTTATGGAAATTTTATGTTTTTAACACCTTTGTAACGAAAAGTCAATTCTTCAAACAAAAATATGACAACAACAGAGGTGAGGAATATATGTTCTGCTTTTGGGCCAAACCTAAGAGGGAGAATTCCCAGCAGAGGAGACCGAAATTGGGAACCACAAGAATGAAAAATAAACAAGTCGAATCTTGGGGCTTTGTAGCCCAGGATGTTGAAATGATCCTGGGGTTTAACTAGCAATGGTCCCTTACAACTGAAATAATTTGGCTAAAGGCAGAGACGGACTGTTGTCAATCACTACAGGCTCCAAAGCAAACAACTCTCAGTCTAACCACGTCCCTTTCCCATCCCCCACCCCCACCCAGCAAATGTCTTCACTGGACATAAAATTGTCTTTGGGATTCACATCTTGGAAGCAAAGAAGACAGGTAACTAATCCAAGTACCCTCTTACTTAGCAATGTTAAGTGTAGTAGAAATCACAATACTGACCCACTGTCTTTTCAGAGTTGTGACTTGAAAGGAATGGAACAGTTCCATTCCCCAGGAAAATCATGCCTCCTTCCCTCAGAAATTTTTTCCAAAAGCTACAGATTTGATACAATTTTCCTGATGAAATATTGCAATGGTATTATGATATTAAGTATTGAATTTGCTTTCTTTCTTAGATCCCAAGAGATGACCCTAAGACTTTCAAACCTTGGTCTATCCCTATAGCATAGCACTGCTGTCATTTCCTTAAAAGGTAAGATCAGGAAGCTGAAGATAATTACTCAGAAAGAAAAAACTGTATCAGCCAGTCCAGTGACTTTCAAACTGTGTTTTATGGAAATTCAGGATTGTGCAAGTGTGTACGTTTAATTTTTAAATCTTATCCAGTTATTTTAATCCTTTAACACTAAACAAGCATGACTTTGGATGCTGACAAAGGAAAGTCAGGGTATTTTACCCAACATAACAGTTTTTATTTTAAAATAAAGTTTAAAATGAGAATGGTGTGGATTAGGATATTTTGAAGATCCTACTCCTCGATTCTTTTGAGAATCACAAGTTGAATGCAAATCACCACATTAAAATCTATTGATTATTGAATTTATAATTAGCTACCGGTAGTGCTATTTGAAAGAGTTGCCTATATGTATTCACTGAGTTCAACTGCTACAGTTTTGGACTGCAGTTTAACACAAAATGCAGAACACTGAAGGCTTTGGAGAATCAACCTACCCTGATACTACCTAGGAAATATATGCTAATAAAAGAAACATATTTTCATTGTTAGAAAATTAAACTTCTGCTTTTCTGCACACTTAATGGGCAATATTAGAAAAACTGAAAGCAGAAGGGAACTACATCATAGATTCAGAGAACATAAAGTTTTTTCATCAAATTCTAATCTTCCAATTAAATGTCTAAAACAACCCACAAGTATTAACATAATATGTTTAATTGCATTGTACTTTCTCAGATGAGAATTTGCATTAATGAATTTGCTAAATCAGACTAAATAATTGATGAGATTTTTGCTTATTCTTTCACAGTAACAACAAAAATCAAAATAGACAACATTTAAAATTGTATTTTAAATTATTATAAAATAGTAATTTAAAACAAACTCCCAGGTATGGAGGGCAGGATATCTGAGTTCTTTAATTATTCTCTCTCTCTCTACCACTCTTTAACTATTAAAGTTAAATGTGACTATGATGGAAAATCCACTCTAATTCTTATGCAAAACAAGGTATGTAAAGTGTATATAGCCTTCTGTCTGACACTAGTACTCAATAAAAGATACACACACACACACACACACACACACACACACACATATTAAATACCAAATTTTAACAAATGAATGAACTGGGTTGTCAAGTTTTTGTACAAATTTTAAAATAAAGACCATCCTCAGATTGCAAGTCAAATTTAAAAAACAAAAACAAAAACCCCTTGCCACTTTACCACTTACAACTATTTCTGTGTGCAGAATTTTTTCCATGTTGAGCAATTAAAACAAAATGCATATATAAATGTGTTCTGAATATTTTTCTTTTAAAGAAACTTTTTTTTTTAATTTTATTGGGGAACAGTGTGTTTTTCCAGGACCCATCAGCTCCAAGTCAAGTAGTTGTCTTCAATCTAGTTGTGGAGGGCACAACTCCTTGGCCCATATGGGAATTGAATCAGCAAACGTGGTGTTACGAGCCTGCTCTCTAACCACCTGAGCTAACAGTTCGCCCCTCTGAATCTTTAACTGGCATCTTTTACCTGCAATTTCAAATTTTTACATTCTTCAGAGTAGCATAATTGTTCTCATATTTTCCTTATAAGTGTTAAACATTGACTTTATTAAATTTATACCACACTAAAATCATTTATGTGTGTGTATTCCCCATAACATTTTAAACCACTGCTAAAATGTGTGAAAACCTCTAATCTCATCCAGCTTCTTGTTTTAAAAATGAAGACATGGAGGTCAGGGAGAATAACTACCTACCTAAATGTACTTATTCATAACTGTAAAGTTTACCAGTCCAATTTTTCAGCTATTTATCATTCTTACAAAAGTTGAGTAATTTGCACACTTTGTAATTATTCTCTTTTCTTTTTTCCCAGGTGTTTCAATTTTTCAGAAGTGAAAAGATGGCTTGTTAACCCTAATTGGACTCCAAACCGATATGCTTAATACTGTTGTGAAAAAAAATGACACAAAATTTAGAAACATTATTCAAGTCTAATTACATTAACAAGATGAATCATTATTTACAAATTATTTACTTAGACTTTCTAGCCTAGAGGTCACCAAACAAACCACTGCAGTAGTCCCAGCAATCAAGTTGAATACTGATTTGTTTCTGAAGATATCAGGTAAATATTGCTGTAAAAGCAAATTTTTCTTTTGTGTGTCCATCCAGTCTAACTGGACTGGTAACACCGGTTACAATCCTAGAATGAAAGACACATCTCAGTAAATAAACATGTGATTACTTTTCCCAGGGATATGTTTGATTCAGTGGCCACAGGTAGGGACACCACAAGAGTTCCACAAGGTTTGGTTTGATTTTTACTGTGGATTAGCTTATGTGTCTGTATATGTGCATTTGACAGCAAAGGAGTGGTATTATCCTCGTGTAAACCAGCTATTCAACTGGTTAACAATCTTTTGGAATTTTGGGGGGGAAAAACAATGTAAAAACATTTTCAGTATATCACAAAACCCCCTTTAAAAAAAAAAAGTGTTTATGAAAAACGTCCGATCTGGTTATCAGAATTTCAGAAATGCTTCATTGCTCACTTTCTCATATAGTGAAGTGAATAACACAGAGCAAAAGAATTCTAAATTGTCATCATAACAATGTGGTCATTGAAACATGCAGGATCCACTAAATTCTGAGTTTTAGAGGTCTTCAAAGGAGAGCCCAGCATACAAATTAGGCCTTATTTGACCAGAAAGTCAGGGGGTAAACTGACACTCTATCCACCAGAATTCACATGACCAGGCTCACCAAGCTTTTGTCTGCAGTGGTTCCTGAAGTAAATGGAGGAGGAGAGGCTGAGCTGAGAGCGCTTGGTGATCAGAGAGAGAAAGTAAAGATTAGGCATGCCGTGCAGGCTGTAGGAGGCTGAAGGTCACAGGAGGCACGGAGCCCATCTGATTGAAGGGACTCAGTTACAGCTGTCCAAGGCCCATTCACTGACTTTGTAGGCTCCACTAGGCCACAGGAGTCCAAGAAGGAAGTGGGACAGAAGCACAAAGAGAAGGGAGACAGGAGCAGAGGGTCATGGGCAGGACAAAAATTACGCAAGATTTTGGCACACAGGAGCAGAAGAGCTGGGGAACTTAGAGGGAGTAGTCAGCATGAAATATGTTGAAAGTAATAAAAAAAAATGTGTTGGTTCTTGAAAATAAAATCCTTAACTGTATAACCTAAAATGAATGTGAGAAATGTGTTTTACCATTTTAAGTGATGGTGAATATAATTTGTATTTTTTAAAAATTTGGTCTATTAGGGCTAAGGATGGCTACTGGCAATTCATTTTCCATTTGTCGTCACTGAGAACTATAAAACATTAAAAATAGAAGGATCTGAATAAAAATTGTTTGGGTGAGTTGGTGCACTAAAATCTGGATGGCATGGATATGAATAAAATACTTTTTTTAAAAGACACGTTTGAAGCTACACATTTTAAGCCAGTTCTTTGAGCTCAGTAAGCATTGCTAATGGATGAAACTTTACTAGATTTTTTGAGTAATTAATACATTCACATGGTTCAAAAATATGAAAAGGTATACAGTACAATGGCATACTCTCAGACCATCCCCATCCAGCCAATTCTCACACAAGCACAAATAACCACTTTTATTAGCTACTTTTTTTTTTCTTTTTTTAAGATTTTATTGGGGAATTGAGGAAGGGGAACAGTGTTGGGGAATTGGGGGAGGGGAACAGCCAAGTTGTCCTTCAATCTAGTTGTGCACTAGCTCAACTCCAAGTCCAGTCGCCATCAGGCCGCCCAGATGCAGCTCAGGGCAGCTCAGCTCAAGGTGCTGTGTTCAATCTTAGTTGCAGTTGGGCGTAGCCCACCATCCATGTGGGAGTCAAACCGGAAACCTTTAAGAGCACACGCTGTATCCACTGAGCCATCTGGCCTCCCGTCGGCAGCTCACGGCAGCTCAGCTCAGGGCAGCTCAGCTCAAGGTGCTGTGTCCAATTTTAGTTGCAGGTGGGCATAGTCCACCATCTCATGCAGGAGTCGAACCGGCAACCTTGTTGTTAGGAGCACGTTCCCTCACCAACTGAGCCATCCTGCCACCTGTTGGCAGCTCAGCTCAGGCGCAGTTCACTGGACCATGTGGGAATCGAACCGGCGACCCTGTTCTTCAGAGCTCTCTCTCTCTCTTTTTTTTTTAAAGATTTTTATTGGGGAATTGGGGGATTGGGGGATGGGAACAGTGCTAGGGAATTGGGGAAAGGGGAACAGACAAGTTGCTGTCCTTTTGTTCTTCAGTCTAGTTGTGGAGGATGTTGCTTCACTGGCCCAAGTTGGCACCATCATTGCGCTCTTCCCAGGCGAGGCAGATCATCACTGGCTTCTGGGCGGCTGCTCGCGGCGGCTCGCGGCGGCTGCTGGCCCCTCACGCTGGCTGCAGCCTACACAGTCCCCAGCGACTCACAGCAGCCCAGCTCCGGGTTGAGCTGTTGTTCAGCATCTTAGCTGTAGAGGGCAGTGTCACTGGCCCTCATATGTGGGATCTGAACCGAGGCCCTCTGGCGTCCCAAGCCAGCTCTTAACCATCGCGCCACTCGGCCGGCCAGAGAATTAGACTCTTGAGTAAGATACACAAGCGTTGCCACGCAGCTGCCCAGCCGTCTGTTCCCCCACACCGATTCCTAAAAGACAGGAGGTGTCTCAAACCCCATGAGACCAGGAAGAATGATTCCTGTAAAGCTCTTTCAGGGGGCATCCTGGAAAGCTGGGACCCGATGGAAGATATCAGTTGACTCCCAATCCCCTTATCAGTAGGTTTAGAGATAAATCCTTATTAATGAGTTTTTAGCTAACGACTTTATCTCCTGGGGTCTTGTGTGTGTGCCCGAAGGCATAGCATTTGTTGCAACACAATGGGACTTTTGGTAATGGCAGCCTGCAGGCATGGGTAATCAGGCTTAAGAAAATTCTCAGGCATGAGACTCACAGACCATGGAAAAAACAATCCCACTTCCTGGTTGAGGTATCAATAAAAACTATGCGTTGGCCCGATTCGGGGCTCAGTCCTAGAGAGACTTGAGTCCCCTGGCCCGCTCGCATTTAACTCGTGGCAATGGCTCTTTCTTAACCCTTCACCGCCCCTTCTCGTTTCCTGTCGTGCGGGACGAGACACACAAGATTAAAAAGGCCAGTGGGGCAGTTTGCCTGGATGGCCAGGCCATGGAGAGCAAGTCTACCAGCTCTGCTGCTGAGATCCTAGAGGTGCCCTTGGCCTTAGGCACCTTGAAGTCTGCTTCTTTAGCTCTGTCCTCAATTCTGTGAGCTGCCCACGATCTCCAATTGTATTAGTTTCCTACGGCTGCTGTAACAAATAACCCCAAAGTGGGTGGCTTAATATTTATTCTCTCACAGTTCTGGAGACTAGAAGTCTGAAATCAAGGTGTTGGCAAGGCCATAGGTTCTAGGGAAGAATCCCCCCTTGCCTTTTCTGATGGTTCTTTGGTGCTCCTTGGCTTGTAGCTGCATTACTCCAACCTCTGCCTCCATGGTCACATGGCCGTCCCCCTTGTGTCTGTGTCCAACCCTTCCTCTCCCTTCCCTAATATAAACACCTATTACTGGATTTAGGGCCCACTATTCCAGGATGATCTCATCTTAATTAATGATATCTGCAGAAACCCTTTTTCCAAACAAAGCCACATTCTGAAGTTCCAGTTAGACATGAACTGGGGAGGGCGGGGGAGGGAGAGGACATTTTTCAACCCACTATGCCAGTAAAGCTTTCTGAGGCTGACAGATACCATTTTTAGGTGGAAGTGACCTGTCTTCCCTCGTACCCCTATTGTATCTGGTTCTTCTATCGCACCATCTGTTTATCTACATGTGTGTCCTCCCTTTTTAGACTATAGGCCCACTAATGATGGCAGAGATTGTATTTTATTCATCCTTTACCACAGGGTGTATCTCAAACTGATATTTATATATGTTTGACTAAGGAAGAGCAAACTAATGTTCTCTCTTCAAACAGAAACTACTGGGCCAGTCGAGTGGCACATTGGTTAAGAGCTGCCTTGGGACGCCAGAGGGCCCCGGTTCGAATCCCACATATGAGGGCCAGTGACACTGCCCTCCACAGCTAAGATGCTGAACAACAGCTCAACCTGGAGCTGGGCTGTCGTGAGTCGCCGGTGACGGCGTAGGCTGCAGCCCCTGCTGCAGTGGGTTGCCATGGGCTACCGTGTGTAGCCAGCAGCCAGCGTGAGTGGCCAGCAGCCGCAGTGAGCGGCCGTCCAGAAGCCGGCAACTGATCTGCCTCACCCGGGAAGAGCGCAATGATGGTGCCAACTTGGGCCAGTGAAGTAACGTCCTCCACAACTAGACTGAAGAACAAAACGACAGCAACTTGTCTGTTCCCCTTCCCCCAATTCCCCAGCGCTGTTCCCATCTCCCAATTCCCCAATAAAAATCTTTAAAAAAACAGAAACTACTTATGAAACCTATACTTTGTAACTCAGATACCCATAAGCCGAGATGTAATGAAGATAAAAAGAAGCTATAGTTCTTTGACAAAGCAGGCTTTACATTGTTATTGGATTTTAATCTGTTATTGGAGTCTCTATTTCACTTGTACATGTTAAGAAAAATTTTCCAAAACTTGCAAATTAGGGGGAAAAAATTCTATGGGCTCTTTCAATGTCATACTCCAGCACTTATAAACCCATTAAACAGTAATCTGATGCTTTAGGGCTGCCCTGTTCAATTTGGTGGCCACAGGTGGCTATTTAAATTTTAATTTTAATCAATTAAATAAAAAATTCAGTTCCCTTGGTTGCCCTAGCCACCTTTCAAGTACTCAATAGCACCACGTGTGGCTACTGGGTACATACCAACAATTAAGTTCACAAACTTTCCACTACATAAGTGCACGGTAGAAAGTTTGTGAACTTAATTGTCTGATCTTGGTATTCATCATCCTAGAGACCATATGCAGCATCCTAGAAAGTTATATTGAACAACACTGCTCTAAGGAAATGTATTTACTGTTTATTAGGATTCAGATTCTGAAAATTTTGGTCTTGAGTTCTGCAATCTCTAGAAGCTGGAAAAGACAATGAAATGAATTCTCCCCTAGAGTCTCCAGAAGGAACAGCCCTGCCAACACTTTGACTTGAACCCAGGACACTTTGGTTTTAGCCAATGTGACCCATTTGGGACATCTGACATACATAACTGTAATATAATAAATCTGTTTTGTTTTAAGCCACCAAGTTTGTGGTAATTT